AAATATAAATCTATAAGGATGGAGAGAATAAGGTATAAGACAGCAGATAAAAATCTTAATAGCTGGAAAGCAGATGGATAACTTAGTAGAACTGATAAACCAACTACCCATCCTGAAGTAGGAAAAGCTGAGAACCAATCATTGTTAGACTGCAGGATTTTCAGAAGTATTGGATATCAGAACTATCAGCCCTAGACACTCTGAAAATGATGACAGGGTGCCAAATAAGGAGAATTGTGTTAAAATTGCCTGAGAATCAGTTAAATCTCTAATGGTCAAATCACTTTCCCTGACTCCAGTCATGGAGTAACCTACTTTCCCATCCCTAGCGTAAGTCTGGAGTTTTGTTTTCTGATGACTGAAGGAAAAGAGAGTCACCATATTAGAGGGTCCACAGTCAAAACTGAGGGCAGGGGTAATATGCGTAGTGGAAATAGGTGACCATCTAAACAGTGAATGCTGATTGTTAAAATGCTATTTTAGTCACTGGGACCAACTACCAATATTTCAGTTCTCCTCCCCTCAGACACATGGTAGAATTTCAATTCTATTTCCTCTTTAAAATACATGTGACTATGTAATTTCATTTCACCATTAAAATGGGAGAAGTGAAATACATTATTTCTGGGCTGGAGCTTTTGGAGACAGTGCATGGTTTAACACATTTACTTTGCCCACTATAGTGATCATGAAAGCCTTTGTGGAGATGGGAGTCTCCAGAAGCCTGGATCCCTCACTGACAGCTATGAGGAGGGTCCCATGCTGAACTGTATGGGACATGTAGTGTGAGAAAGAAATCAACCTTCATTGTGTTAAATCACTGAGATTTGGAGTAACTGTTTAGTACTGAAGCATAACCTAACCTATCCTGAATAATGCAGGCCTACACTCCACTTCCCCCATTCAATCCTTTACCTTTTCAATCCATACGTTTTTCTCTTGGGTAGGAGATTTTTAAAGAGTTGGGGAATCTGACCAGTCGAAGTGAAAAGACCTAATCACACTGACACTGAGGTTTCTCCAACAACAAGAGCTCCCAGTTCACCTTAGAGTAATAATCAGAATGGACAAGCCCTGATAACACGCTCAAAACTATTACTGAGCTCTTTAGTCTCCCAAACTAAATCAAGAACAGACACATGAATGAGACTCCTAAAGAAAGTTTCTAAGAAGAAATATAGAAATAAAAACAAAGCAGTATGGTGTAAGGAATAGATCTTAATTTTATCTTTTTCCAAATAGTTATATAATTGATAAAAAACTTTATGAAAACCCTTTTCTCAATGGAAAAAAAAGAAATAAAAAAGCAAAGCAAAAAAATAGGGTAAATTGGAGAAAATAGAAAGTTTCTAAGAGCAGGAGGAAATTAGTTTCCTAGATGAAACTGTTTACCAATTGTCCTGTACAATGGATGAAAATAAACTCAAAGACACATCAGTGTTTAATTTTCAAATGTTTGGGACAATGACAATATACTACAAGAAGAACTAAAAATACAGGTCTCAAAAAGAAGATATAAAATAAAATTCACTTTAGACTTCTTAACAAACACACTGGTTTAGAGCTCATGGACAAAATATTTTAAAATTCTGAAGAAAAATTATTTCCAACCTAAAACTCTATAATCAGTCAAACTTATAATCAAGTTTGAGAGTAAAATAAAGATAATTTAATACACTCAAGGTCACAACAAAATTTACCTCTCATACACTGTTCTCTGGAAACTACTAGAAGATATCTATCAAAATGTGAGAGTAATCTAGGAGAGAGGAAGGAAGAAGAAAGCAAAAAGAGATGATCCAAAGCAGAACAAGTGAGGGACTTCCCTGGTGGTCCAGTGGTTAAGACCCCATGCTCCCAGTGCAGGGAGCCCAGGTTCGATCCCTGGTCAGGGAACTAGATCCCACATGCCACAACTAAGAGCCCGCATGCTGCAACTAAAGATCCCACATGCCGCAATGAAGATCCTACATGCCACAACTAAGACGCGGTGCAGCCAAATAAATAAATATTAAAACAAAACAAAACAAACAAAAACCAAAGCAGAACAAGTAAAATGAATCTCCACATGATGTTGAAGGATGATCCCAGGATGACACTTGTCTCCAGTATAGTGAACAACTAGTCCAGTTTGGAGCTGTATGACTCAAGAGACAGGCATTTCGAAGGATATCATCAGCAAGTCCCCTGACATATCTTCAATCAGATGAAACTCTTGGAGGATGTGATCTCTTAAAGCTATAGAATAAACCAAAAAAGAGGAAGAATAAAATCCTTGAAATAGGAAACCCAATCAGAATAAAAGGCAAAGGGAATTCCAAGAATGACAGCAAAGGAAAGTTCCAGGATGAGACCTATGCAGCAGACGTAGGGAGCAACCACTCAATTTTAAGGAGAATTGATATCTCAGGAGACGTGGGAATGACCATGTGGAAAATTGTATTGAGAGGAATTGGAAGTGTGAGAAGAATAGGTGACATATCTAAAGAAAACCAAGCAAATGAAAAGGCAAGGCAATCATTAACTTCAAGAAAAAAAATGTGGGACTTCCCTGCTGATGCAGTAGTTAAGAATCTGCCTGCCAATGCAGGGGACATGGGATAAAACTGGACAGCCAAATGCAAAATAATGAAACTAGACCACTATCTTACACCATACATAAATATCAACTCAAAATGGATTAAAGACTTGAATGTAAGACCCGAAACCATAAAACTCCCAGGAGAAAACATAGGCAGTATGCTCTTTGATATTGGTCTTAATTTCTTCCCGGATATGTCCCTTCAGGCAAGGGAAACAAAAACGAAAATAAACAAATGGGACTACATCAAACTAAAAAGCTTCTGCACAGCAAAGGAAACCATCAACAAAACAAAAGGACAACCTAAAGAATGGGAGAAGATATTTGCAAATCATATATCCAATAAGGGGTTAATATCCAAAATATATAAAGACTCATATAACTCAACAAAAACAAAACAACCTGATTTAAAAATGAGCAGAGGATCTGAACAGAGATTTTTCCAAAGAAGACAAAGAGATGGCCAACAGCCTCATCAAAAGATATTCAACCATCACTAATTTTAAGGAAATGCAAATCAAAACCACAGTGAGATATCATCTCACACCCAATAGAATGGCTATTATCAAAAAGGCAAGAAATAACAAATGTTGGAGAGGATATGGAGAAAAGGGAATCCTCATATACTGTTGGTGGGAATGTAATTTGTGCAGCCACTATGGAAAACAGTATGGAGATTCCTCAAAAAACTAAGAATAGAACTACCATATGATGCAGCTATTCCACTTCTGGATATTTACCTAAAGAAAATGAAAACACTAATTTAAAAAGATATATTCACCCCATGTTCATTGCAGCATTATTCAAAATAGCAAAGATATGGAAACAACCTAAGTGCCCATTGACAGATAAATGGATAAAGAAGATGTGATACACACGCATACAATGGAATACTACTCAGCACAAAAAAGATGAAATCTTGCCATCTGCTACACCATGGATGGACCCTGAGGATATTATCCTAAGTGAAATAAGTCAGAAGCAGAAAGACAAATACTGTATGATTTCACTCATATGTGAAATATAAAAAACCAAAACCAAAATAAACTAACAAACCAAACCAAACAAAAACAAACATATAGATATAGAGAACAGAGTAGTGGGACTTCCCTGGCAGTCCAATGGTTCAGACTCTGCCCTTCCAATGCAGGGGGTGTGGGTTTGATCCCTGGTCGGGGAACTAAGATCCCATATGCCACGTGGCGTGGCAAAAAAAAAAAATTTTAATTACAAAAAAATATAGAGAACAGAGTAGTGGCCACCAGAAAAGAGGTGTAGGGGTAGGATGAAATGTGTAAAGGGGGTCAACTGTGTAGTTGAAAACTAAACTTTTGGTGGTGAACACACCATAGTGTATACAGAAGTCAAAATGTAATGTACACGTGGAACTTAAATAAGGTTATAAACCAATGTTACCTCAAAAAAAAAAAAAGTCTCCTTATTGGTAAGGGAGCTAGGAAAATGAGGAGGGAAAGTGCAGAAGACTACTGTATTTTCTTATAAACCTTTTAGTACTATTTGATTTTGAATCAAGGTCAAAGATTATTTGAAAAAAGTGTATTTTAAAAGATCAGTAAAATAGAGATCTTGCAAGTCTCCTCAAGGATAAAAAGGAGGGGACTTCCCTGGTGGTCCAGTGGTTAAGACTTCACATCCCGATGCAGGGGGCCCAGGTTCGATCCCTGGTCAGGGAACTAGATTCTGCATGCCACAGCTAAACATACCGTGTGCCACAACTAAGACCCGGTGCAGCCAAATAAATAAAATTTTTAAAAAATGTCCTATACTGCCAAAAACAAAGAATAAAAAGGAGATAAAGTACTAAATATTACTAATAAGAATAGAGTTATAACTAGAGATAAATAATGCAATGAAAACATAATACCAAAATGTTTGCAAATCCAAATAAAATAAATGGTTTTTAAAAATAAACTACAAATTACTTTAAAAAGAAACAAAACCCGAACAGATTAATAACCAAAAGTAAAATGGAAAAGATAATCATAGATTTACCACCCAAACCCAACCCATTTAAAAGGCAAGTTGCAATAAAGCATGTAGAAACAGATGATAATATAATTATAAAAACTATTCTGTTACATAAAAATAGGTAGAAAGCTTCCTAATCCACACTACAAGGCCAGGATAGTTTAATACCAAAACCATAGAAGCTAAACACACACATTCATGTATACACACAGAGCAGCAAGGGCCAGAAAAATCCTAAAACTATGCTGGCTCATCAAATCCATCTGTGCATTAAAACAATAATATGTAATGGTTAAATGTCATTTATATCAAGAACTCAAAAATTAAAAAGCTAAAGAATAAATTTCAACAGATGTCAAAAATTACTCTAAAATGTTAAAGAAAAATAAGAAAACTTTTTTGATACAAAAAATAGAGCATTTACCCCAAACTGAGATCAGCCATCATAGTTAAAGATGAAATACTAGGAGCACTTCCACAAAGGCAAGAATGACACCTACTTGCTACTATTAATTTTAAGAGTATTCATTGCATACTCTTGGAAATGCCAGTCATGTGAACACTAACATATACATAGTACTTAAATCAGGTGAAGGGTGGAGGATGGGGGGTAGAAAATGTTCCAAAAAATATTGCGGTGAAGAGTGAAGACCTTGAAACTGGAAGGATTATTTAATTCACAAGAAACTGAAAAAAGGCCAGTTACTCTGAAGGGTGTACAGCATTATTGTTAAGCAGTTTACAAATAAACAAAAGGCTCTCAACCAATATATGTTGACTTTTTGATGGAGACTTCATTTTCTTATATATTCTTTACTATCAATCTTAAAAACAGGAAAAGGTTTTCTTAGGATTAACCGCTGGTGGGAAGCCAGAGTTTAATTTTGTGCACCTAAATTAAGGAAAAAGACTGATTTATTTTTCTGCGAATGTAGACTCACAGAGACGGATACGATGTAAGCATTTACAAACTAGGATTACTGTGGCCAGTTGAGGGAAAATATGAAATGAAACAGCAAAGACACTAAGGGGAAAAAAAAATCCTACTCCAGCTCCTTTAATCCGCCATCTTTTTGTTCTATTCCTGAAATTGGGAGTAACATCCACAAAACGCAAGGTGGCGCTGCAGGTTAAAAAGAGAACAAAATATTCGCATAAAGAATGTTGCAGATTCCAGTGTTAAGAGGAAAGCTGACCAGACTAGAAAAGTCGAGGAAAGGAAGCCGTGGTAATAGGTGTTGGGAGAAAGTGGGGATCCCTCCCCACAAGCATTGCTATGATCCAGCTCATTTCTAAGGATTCAGCTGATGCCATTTCTGAATTGCTCGAGGCCGAGAAAAAGTGGTTTTTGAAGACTGGTTAAACAAAGAATGGAGGCCAGAGTGGAGCGTGCTGTGCAGCAAAGGCAAGTACTATTTCTTTGTGTATTTCTGCAAGTGTCTTGGGCTGGTGGGGAACCACTACTGTATTTTGTGGAAGAGGAAGCTGAAAAAGGCACCTTTCTGGCCAACCTAGCAAATGACCCGGGGTTGGGGGAACTATCAGCCCGGGGACCTAGAATCATTTCAGACCAGAATACAGGATTTTTACTACTTGATCCGCTTACTGGTGATTTATTTCTAAATGAGAAATTAGACTGACAGGACCTGTGTGGCCCCACAGAGCCTTGTGTGCTGCCTTTCCAGTTGTTACTGGAAAAACCTCTTCAGATTTTCCGTGCTGAATTATGGGTCAGAGACATCAATGATCATTCTTCAGTATTTCTAGATAGAGAGATTCCCTTGAAAATATTAGAAGTTACCTCTCCAGGGGCAGCATTTCTCCTAGAAAGTGCACAGGATTCAGATGTTGGAACCCACAACCTGAGAAACTACACCATCAGCCCCAATGCCTATTTCCACATTAATGTCCATGATAGTGGGGAGGGGATTATCTATCCTGAATTGGTGCTGGATAGACTGCTGGATCAAGAAGAGGTGCCTGAGCTCAGTTTACTCCTCACCGCCTTGGATGGTGGCTCTCCACCCAGCTCTGGAACTGCCCTGGTATGCATCCTGGTTTTGGACGTCAATGACAACGCCCCTGAATTTGTACAGTCTCTCTACAAGGTGCAGGTGACTGAGGATAGCCTTGTTGTCTCTGGTTGTCACCATGTCAGCTAGAGATTTAGATACCGGAAGTAATGGGGAAATAGTTTATGCATTTTTTTATGCTACTGAAAGAATTCTCAAAACGTTTCAAATCAATCCAACATCTGGCAATCTTCATTTAAAGCTGAATTGAACTATGAGGCAATGCAAATTTATACATTAACTATTCAGGCCAAAGATGGCAGAGGACTTTCTGGAAAACATACGATGGTGGTTCAGGTAACAGATATAAATGACAATCCACCAGAACTACTCATGTCATCACTTACTACATCAATTAAAGAAAACTCACCTGAGACAGTCATAGCTGTTTTTAGGATTCGAGACAGAGATTCAGGAAACAATGCAAAGATGGTGTGCTCCATCCAAGACAATCTCCCCTTCGTCCTGAAGCCATCTGTAGAGAATTACTACACCCTGGTAACCGCTAGCTCTCTGGACAGAGAGAAAAGAGCCGAGTACAACATCACCATCACCGTCACTGACACGGGAACCCCCAGGCTGAAAACCGAGCACAACATAACCGTGCTGGTGTCCGACGTCAACGACAACTCCCCCGCCTTCACCCAGACCTCCTACACCCTGTCCGTCCGCGAGAACAACAGCCCCGCCCTGCACATCGGCAGCGTCCGCGCCACAGACARAGACGMGGGCGCCAACGCCCAGGTCACYTACTCGCTGCTGCCGCCCCTCGACGCGCACGTGCCCCTGGCCTCCCTGGTGTCCATCAACCCGGACAACGGCCACCTGTTCGCCCTGAGGTCCCTGAACTACGAGGCCCTGCGGGCGTTCGAGTTCCGCGTGGGTGCCGCCGACCGCGGCTCGCCCGCGCTCAGCAGCCAGGCGCTGGTGCGCGTGCTTGTGGCGGACGACAACGACAACGCGCCCTTCGTGCTGTACCCGCTGCAGAACGCCTCGGCGCCCTGCACCTAGCTGGTGCCCAGGGCGGCCGAGGCGGGCTACCTGGTGACCAAGGTGGTGGCGGTGGACGGCGACTCGGGCCAGAACGCCTGGCTGTCGTACCAGCTGCTCAAGGCCACGGAGCCCGGCCTGTTCGGCGTGTGGGCGCACAACGGCGAGGTGCGCACGGCCCGGCTGCTGAGCGAGCGCGACGCGGCCAAGCACAGGCTGCTGGTGCTGGTCAAGGACAACGGCGAGCCGCCGCTCTCGGCCAGCGTCACGCTGCACGTRCTGCTGGTGGACGGCTTCTCGCAGCCCTACCTGCCGGCCCCGGAAGCGGAAGCGGCGGACGCGGCCCCGGCCGCCCCTCTCACCGTCTACCTGGTGGTGGCCTTGGCGTCGGTGTCGTCGCTCTTCGTCTTCTCGGTGCTGGTGTTCGTCGCGGTGCGGCTGTGCAGGAGGGGYGGGGCGGCCTCGGTGGGTCGCTGCTCGATGCCCGAGGGCCCCTTTCCGGGCCACCTGGTGGACGTCAGCGGCACGGGGACCCTGTCCCAGAGCTACCAGTACGAGGTGTGTCTGACGGGAGGCTCTGGAAGTAATGAGTTCAAATTCTTGAAGCCGATTCTCCCCAACCTCCCGCCCCAATGCCCTGGGAAGGAAATAGAAGAAAATCGTACCTTCTACAATAGCTTTGGGTTCAATATTCAGTGACCATAATTAACTTTTATATCTCATAGGTATGATGTTTTGTGGCACTTCCATACCAACATTATTTCCCCCAAAATGTGTGTGTTTGAAGTTGTACTGATGTTACTTTTATATTTTCGTATGTTCTACCCACCTTTACTTTTAAGTGAATGTTTATCTTTACCTGTGGTTGTAGTTAGATAGCAATTTATTCTCTAACCAAGGAGGTCTTAATTTGTAATTAATTTGCCTCCTTAAATAATAACACCAAATCAGTTTTTGCTCATGGCCCTCTCTCCAGTTGAACTTTCATTCACAATTATGCTTATGATAAAATAAAGCAGACCACTTTCAAAGTATTTCAAGGGTTCAAGTATTTCTTCATTTTCTTTCTTTCTTGCGGTTTTTCTTGTGGTTGAATAATGGTTGCTATTCAGAAATGTCATTCTTTCTTTAAATTCACCACTGTTTTAGTTAACATTTTAAAATGTTTATTACTGCTGAAAATATACCTGAAAAATCATGTCCTATGATACAATCATAAACACCTTGTTAGAATGGGGCAGAAGGCAATTTTCTTAGTGTCTCTTCTTTACTCATCCTGGAGGGTTATCCTGAAGACACATTAATATTGTAGCCACCCACAGAATACTGGAATATGAAGTTATAATTTTCCAGATGTCTCATTAATGTTACAAAGGTATGATGCAACCTAGTTGAATACAGGCTCCCAAGTAATCATTTGTTTATTGTAGAGTGGACTTGTTTGCTAATGTGTATAATTTTTTGCCTCCTGTGTTATCCCAGAATTTAATATATATACACTGGGCACTAATTTTCAAACTTTAAAAAATCACAGGCAACTGAAAAATTATATTGTATATATTACATAACATACATGTTTTATATGAAAGAAATGTTTTGTGAACAGTGCTTAGCTTTTTTGTGATACAATCTGAAATTGCCTGTATTATTCCATTCTGTTTAATTTTCAAATGTGGTCATGATCCACTAAATTGATTTCATGACCTACTAATGGGTAGCAATCCAAAGTTTCAAAACCACTTTTCTCAGATATTTGTAGAGTACTGAAAAGTATGAAAAGATAGTCCTTTAACATTCTAATTTTCAAACTTTTTTCAAGTCATTGTAGGAGGAAGTTTTGTTTCATGCTGTACAAGCACCAACCAACCACTCTTGCCTTTAGTAACCTGACTATATTACAGAAGAGAGCCTTCATTGTTGGGGGAGGATCTTTCCAATGAATTTCATCAAAAAGTCTGAAGTCTGTGTGTTGTGGAAGGAAAATGTAGATGAGCAAAATGAGTAAGGGTATAGAAGGAAAGGAAGTGTGTGTGTGAGAGAGAGAGTAGGCATGAGAAAGAGGAGGTGCATGAGGGTGAGTAAAATGATTGCTTTTATGCCTGAGGTGGGACCACAGACTGGAGTCAATGCCACGCACTGCCTCTTGAAGATATTCTAATCTTAACATTATAGAGGGGCTGGGTATTAGTCAGTTAATAATGCCTGGAAGTCAAACCTCTTGCTCTAACATATCCAAAATAATCTAATGTTTACAGCCCTTGAATGCTAAAATTTTACCACCAGTTCTTTTGAACTGTGTGGACTGATTAATTACTCTTTGAATTCAAGAAAAATGGAGGGAACAAAAGTCTCTCCATGCAGGCTAACTAAATTCTAATTTTCTATTTTCAGAAGTGGAACTTGGAGTAAGTTCTTCTTCCCTAAATGAAAGCTTCCTTACATAGAGAACAAAAACTCATATTAATTAATCAAAATTAAGTATTAAGGTTACCTCCTGTGTTTACTGTTCTTAGTGGGGAAAAGATGGAGGACTACTAGCTTAAAGAGATATACAGTTATAGCTGTCAACAACCAAGGTGGGAGTGTTCTAGCAGCTTGTTTCCCCAGTAAGCTTGGTCTCTCTCATCTATAATGGGGGAGGGGGAAAGAGCAGTTTAAACAGCTCAGGCAGAAAATCTAACAGACGCAACAGCAGAGAAAAGGACGAGGTACTTGTCCTCTTGCTTAAGAGTTTTTCCAGCTATCTGAACAGGAGGACTTGCCTATTTCTGGAAAGAACTATGTGTTTCCTGACTCTAATGGAGAAAGGCCAGGCCTTCAGGAGCTCAGATGCCCAGATATAAGTAAACCAACCAGTTATCTTACAATGTATTGCTAAAAATAGATTTTGCTCTTATGCTTCAGATACCTTATTTATAGTTAAATATAAACCAGTGCATAGGAATCCAACTGTATCAGCCAATTTTATATTAAAGGACTATAAGTTGTCCAATGGGAAGAGGTCACTTACAAAATGGAGATGCAAGAGACTGCTCAGCCTCCCAGAAATGACTTTCTTGAAAACCCTTACCAATAAGAACAAAATAACACTTTAGGTTGGAATTTGCCAAGAGTATGGGAAAGAAAGGACATAAGGACATTTTCACTTACAAACACATTGTTTTCCTCATCTCCTTTCTACTTCAAGTCCCTATCCTACTACTGCATTCCTGCATCCACTAATTAATCTAACATGGCCTCTCAGTCCTCTGTTCCAGTTGTCATTAGTGCCTTGGCTACATGCTGTACTTTTTCACTACCCAGAACTGTTCTTTCTATGAAATATGGTTTCAGATCTCTCCCTCTGAGAACACAACCTTCTATGCCTTTAGCCCTCTCATCTTGCTACTCCTATCACATCTTGTCTTTGACCTTGTCATGACCTCCATTCCATGATGCTACTACCACCTATCAACCCCCTCCTGTTTTAATTTCCTTCCCATCCAGCTGACTCCCTGTTTAGCACTCCCAATCACTTCATCTCTATTCTCAGTTCTCTTGTTCAACTTGCCTTCACTCTAGGATTTGCTTCACCACCTGATGAAACTCCACATGAGATGAATATAGTTATCTCTTTTCTCTTACACCTGGGATGCTGCACGCTATAAGACAAACTGAGGAAATTATCAATACTATTGCCACTAAGTTTATCACATCCAAACTTAATTGGGCTTTCAAGATCAAGAAATCTTTTTATATTTTCCTAATCAGCTTTCTCTTTTATTCTCCATAACAAGTACTTCAAACCTACTTATCTTACTTTAAACTACTCACCCTACTACTTACACACCCCCTTTTAGCAGATGAACTTGCTTAATACCTTAAAGAGAAAACAGAATCCATCAGATGGGAATTATCTCAATTTCCTGTCCCCAAACCTATACTCTTGATAGCATATGTACTTGGAAAATTTCCTCTGCTGAGGTCCCTTCCACCTAAGTCCAATCCCTTCATATATAGGATCCCTGGATCCTATTTTGACCACTTTCTAGGGGCTTCACATTGATTACATCCTTTCTTGTGTATCTTAATTTTCTGCCTCTTTACTCAATACTGCAAATTAGCATTTAAAAACATTTCTCTAGGCTTAAAAAACCCTCCTGAGTCTAAATTCTCCTCCAGATACCAATCTACTTCTTTCTTTTGCAGCTAAATTTCTCAAAAGGATCGACATTTTTATTTCCTTATCCCTCTCACTTTTCATCCCAGTGAAATCTAATTTTTATCACAACCAGTCTACTGAAAACTGCTATTGTAAAGCTCATCAAAGATTTGTGTATAAGTTAGGTAAGGTTACACTACTGAAATAGAGCAGCACAACTACACAGTGGCTTGTAAAAGTATGTATCTCTTTCTTGTACCAGCCGCAATGTAAATGATTGGGTAGATAGGGCAGCTTTGCTCCTCATGGTCCTTCTGGAACCACAATTTGTTCCAAGTAATTCCTCTTACATTCCCTGTTTCAGTGTATAATCTACATGACTTGTAGCTGGGTCACTGCCACATCTGGGTTCTAGCTGGCTAGGAGGGAAGAGACACATACAGATGTCTTCCATTCCAGACCCAGAGGTAGCAAATAAAAATTCTGTTCACAATCTGTGAGAACTTAAATAGCCACACCTAACTACAAGGGAGGCTGAGTCACCATGTGCCTGGGTACAGTTCTATTACTATATAGAAAAGGAGAACAGATTTTGGCAGACATCTATCAGACTCCTCCACAATGACCATCTTCTTAAATCCAATGGACCATTTTAATACTTATTTTTCTTGAGTTTTCTGAAGGATTTGCTACTGTTGATCTTCCTCATCTCCTTGAAATGCTATTTGCTTTTAGTTTGATGATTCTGAACTCTGCATCTTCCTTGTCTTTTTAAAAAAAATGCTTCCTGGGCTTCCCTGGTGGCGCAGTGGTTAAGAGTCTGCCTGCCGATGCAGGGGACACGGGTTCGTGCCCCGGTCCGGGAAGATCCCACATGCCGCGGAGCGGCTGGGCCCGTGAGCCATGGCCGCTGAGCCTGCGCGTCCGGAGCCTGTGCTCCTCAACGGGAGAGGCCACAACAGTGAGAGGCCCCCGAAAAAAAAAAAAAAAAAAAAAAAAAAAAATGCTTCCTTACCTCTCCTTTAAATGAAGATGTTTCTCAGAGTTCTGTGCTTCTTCTTTGACACACTTTTGCTTGGTTCCTGTAGAGATCCCATGGTTTCAAACACCATTCACAGGCGCACCTCATTTTATTGCACTTTATTGCATTTTGCAGATATTGTGTGTTTTTACAAATTGAAAGTTTTTACAAATTCAAAGCCCTGCAATGAGCATATCTACTGACACCATTTTTCCAAAGCATTTGCTCACTTTATGTCTCTGGGTCACATTTTGGTAATTCTCACAATATTTCAAACTTTTTATTTTATTATATTTGTTATAATAAAACAAATATAATGGTGATCTGTGATCAGTGATCTTTGATGTTACTATTGTAATTGTTTGGGGGGCACCATGAACTATACCTATATAAGACAGTGAACTTAATAGATAAATGTGTGTTCTGACTGCTCTACCAACTAGATGTTCCCCATCTTTTTCCCTCTCCTTGGGCCTCCCTATTCCCTGAGACACAACAATATTGAAAATAGGCCAGTTAAGGGACTTCCCTGGTGGCGCAGTGATTAAGAATCCACCTGCCAATGCAGGGGACACGGGTTTGATCCCTGGTCTGGGAGGATCCCACATGCCACGGAGCAACTAAGCCTGTGTGCCACAACTACTAAGCCTGCGCTCTAGAGCCCGCGAGCCACAACTACCGAAACCCACATGCCTAGAGCCCTGCTCCACAACAAGAGAAGCCACCGCAACGAGAAGCCTGAGAAGCCCGCGTACATCAACGAAGAGTAGCCCCCGCTCGCCGCAACTAGAGAAAGCCCTCGCGCAGCAATGAAGACCCAACTCAGCCAAAAATAAAATAAATTAATTAAAAAAATTTTTTTAAAGAAAATAGGCCAGTTAATAATCCTACAATTTGACTTAAGTGTTCAAGTGAAAGGAAGAGTCACATGTCTCTCACCTTAAATCAAAAGACAGAAATGATTAAACTTAGTGAAAAAGGCATGCTGAAAGCCAAGACAAGCTGAAAGCTAGGCCTCCTGCACCAAACAGCCAAGTGTGAACACAAAGGACAAGTTCTTGAAGGAAATTAAGAGTGCTACTCCAGAGAACACATGAATGATAAAGTGAAACAGCCTTATTACTGATATGGAGAAAGTTTTAGTGACCTGGATAGAACATCAAACCAGATACAACATTGCTTTAAGACAAAGCTTAATACAGAACAAGGCCCCAACTCTCTTCAATTCTATGAAGGCTGAGAGAAGTGAGGAAGAAGTAGAAGAAAAATTTGAAGCTAGCAGAGGCTGGTTCATGAGGTTTAAGGAAAGAAGCTGTCTCTAGGATGTGAAAGTGCAAGGTGAAGCAGGTTCTGATGTAGAAGCTGCAGCAAGTTATCAGGAAGATCTAGTTAAGATAATTCATGAAGTTGGCTACACTATATCACAGATTTTCAATGTCAATGAAATAGTCTTAATATGGAAGAAGATGCCATATAGGACTTTCAGAGCTAGAGAGTAGAAGTAGGCGCCTTGCTTCAAAGTTTCAAAGGACAGGCTGACTCTTTTGTTAGGGGCTAATGCAGCTGGTGACTTTAAGTTGAAGCCAATGCTTATTGACCATTACAAAAATCCTAGGGCCCTTAAGAATTATGCTACATCTACTCCGCCTGTGCTCTTTAAACTGAACAACAAAGTCTGGGTAACAGCACACTTGTTTACAACATAGTTTACTGAGTATTTTAAGCCCACTGTTGAGATCTAGTGCTCAGAAAAAGATTCCTTTCAAAATATTACTGCTCATCGACAATGCATCTGATCACCCAAGAGCTCTGATGGAGATGTACAACCAGATTAATGTTGTTTTCATGCCTGCTAACACAACATCCATTCTGCAGCCCATGGATCAAGGAATTATTTTGACTTTCAAGTCTTACTATTTAAGAAATACATATCATAAGGCTTTGGCTGCTAAAGACAGTGATTTCTCTAATGAATCTGGGCAAAGGAAACTGAAAACCTTTTGGAACAGATTCACCATTCTGGATGCCATTAGAAATTCATGATTCATGGGAAGAGATCAAAATATCAATATTTAAGAGTTTGGAAGAAATTGATTTCAACCCTCATGACTTTGAGGGGTTCAGGACTTCAGTGGAGGAAGTAACTTCAGTTGTGGTGGACACAGCAAGAGAACTAGAATTAGAAGTGGAGCCTGAAGATGTGATTGAACTGCTGCAATCTCATGGTAAAACTTTCTCATGGATGAGGAGTTGCTTCTTATGGATGAGCAAAGAAAGTGGTTTCTTGAGACGAAATCTACTCCTGGGGAAAATGCTGTGAAGATTACTGAAATGACAACAAAGGATTTAGAATATTACATAAACTTAGTTGATAAAGTAGCGGCAGAGTTTGACTCCAATTTTGAAAGAAGTTCTACTGTGGGTAAAATGCTATCAAACAGCATTACGTGCTACAGAGAAACTGTTCATGAAAGGAAGGCTCCATCGATGCAGCAAACTTCATTGTTGCCTTATTTTAAGAAATTGCCACAGCTACTCCAACCTTCAGCAACCATCATCCTGATCAGTCAGCAGCCATCAACATCAAGGCAAGACCTTCCATCAGCAAAAACATTACGACTTGCTGAAGTCTCAGATGATAGTTAACATTTTTTAGCAATAAAGTATTTTTAAGTTAAGGTATGTACATTTTATTTTTACACATAATGCTATTGCACACTTAATAGATTACAGTATAGTGTAAACATAACTTTTATATGCACTGGGAAACCAAAAAATTTGTGATTCACTTTATTGAGATACTCGCTTTATTGCAGTGGTCTGGAATGGAACCCAAAATATCTCTGGGGTATGCCTGTACATGCTGATGAATCTCAAAGTCCATATCTCCAGCCCAGATTTGTTTTCTGTGTTTCAGTTATATATGTACACACACACACACACACACACACACACACACACATTCCACAGGCACTTACCTCAATATCAACATGTCCCAAACTAACTTTATCTTTTTCTATTTCAATCTTGGTTGTTGTTTTTTTTTTGTCAGCATTCCCTGTCTTAGTGAATGATGCACTAACCATCAGTACCCAACCCAGAGAGGTGTTCATTATCCTTGAGTCTTTCCACTTTTTCTCCCCATGCAAGCCATCCATCACTGGGTCTTAAATATTTTTATCTTCTAAATATCTTTCTAATCACCCCGCTTCTCCTTATCGACATTAGTATTACCTTCATCCAGGCTACCATCACCTCCTAACTGGTCTCTCTGATTCCAGTTATTCCCCCTGAAACTGATTATCATACTTCAGCCAATTTTGATTTTTCAAAACTGCAGGTATAATTATGTTAATCAACTGTTTAAGATCCTACATTGTATTATAAGTGCCTTTAGGATAAATTTTAAAATGCATGCTATAACTCATATAATTGTTTATGTCCTTACTCTGCTTCTTTCCCCCAATCTCATTTTAACATTCTCCCCCTTCCATGGTTTAAAGCTTGAGGCATATTTAACTTCCCAGTTTCCTTAAAATATCCGTTCAAAACACTTCTCCTGAATGGCTCCTCCAGATCACAACTTGTAGTTCAATACCTTAGGACAGGTTTCAGTGATGTCCAAAAATATGGATTAGATTTTATTTATTTTAACAGGCACTTAACAAGCACTTACTAGCCACTTTGTAAAAATTAACTCATTAGATTCCTATGATAATAATCCTACGAGGTAAACACTATTATTACCCCTATTTTACAGTTAAGGAAGCAGAGGTACATAACTTGCCCAAGACTTAAGATAGTGAGTAGGAGAACTAGGATTCTAATGTAGACATTTTGGTTCCAGAATCCATGTTCATAACCACTATGCAATGCTGTCTCCTAGGTATAAGATGTCCGTTCTTGGTATTTATATATTACTATTTACCTGTGCATACATTCTGGCATATTTTAATTACTTGCCTGACAAATTTTCTAGACTGTGAGCTCCATAAAGACGCACATATGTATTTTAAAAAATATACAAGTGAAAAAAGCAATGACATTACTAACTATAATAGACTGAAATCTATAAGGTTTACAAGAGTGTAGGGGAGGATATATTTGCAATTACTCAATAAATGGCCTGAATAAAATATAATTTCTTCAGTTCAGGACATTTTAATGGTTCCTCTTGTCGGGCATTCAAAACAGTGATAATTCAGTGCACTTCATGAACCTTGTTTAAATACTGATTCAAACAAACCAACAGTAAAACATATTTTGGAGGAAAATGTGTAAAACCAAACACAGATTGAATATAAATTATATTAAGCTACCAGCACTAAATTTGTAGATTGTGATAGTAGTATAGTATATATTTTTAAAGTCCTTATCTGTTACAGATACTTAGTGAAGTATTTAGAGGTAAAAATACGTGATGTCTGGGATTTGCTTTAAAATACTCCAGATGAATTTATGAATTACTTGTTCAAAGAGAAAAAAAAAATTCTACTGAAAAAATTCATAGAGACACATGGTGGCGCTGCAGGATAAGATGAAAAGAGTGCTTCTACAACACTGTGGGCTCCATTATTCACGGGAACAGAGAACATCCAACCCACTGAAAAGAGAGATATTAAGGAGCTTCACCTACAGTCCTGCTGGAGGTTTATATACTCTCTAGAAGTTTCCAACTAAAAAAAGAATCAGAGCCTCAGCTTGCAAAATTAGAGCTGAACTTAAATTTTTCCACAAAAGAGGTTTCTTGAAGAAACCATGGAGATCAGAGGGGCACTCGTTCTGCGGAAAAGGCAAGTTCTGATTATCTTTGTTTTACTGGGATTGTCTCAGGCAGGTCCTGAGTCTGTGCGCTATTCTGTGGCAGAGGAAACAGAAATTGGCTCTTTTGTGGCCAATCTGGCAAGGGATCTGGGGCTTGGGGTGGAGGAGCTCTCTTCGCGGGAGGCGCGGGTAGTGTGTGATGATAATGAAAAGCATTTGCACATCGATTTGCTGACCGGGGATTTGCTCGTAAATGAGAAACTGGACCGGGAAGAGCTGTGTGACTCCACGGAGCCCTGTGTTCTGCATTTTCAGATGGTACTGGAAAACCCTTTACAGTTTTTTCGGGCTGAGCTGCATATCAAAGATATAAATGATCACTCCCCTACATTTCTTGACAAGGAAATAGTTATTAAAATATCAGAGAGTACCATTATTGGAACCACATTCCTAATGGAGAGTGCCCAAGATTTGGATGTAGGAAGCAACAGTCTCCAAAACTACACAGTTAGCCCGAATTCTCACTTCCACATTAAAATTCAAGACAGTGGTGATGGAAAGATATACCCTGAACTAGTCCTGCACAGAGCGTTGGACCATGAGGAGGAGCCTGAGCTCAGATTAACACTCATAGCACTGGATGGTGGATCCCCGCCCAGGTCTGGGACAACTTTGGTCCTCATCAAGGTCTTGGACATCAATGACAATGCCCCAGAGTTTCCTCAGAGGCTCTACGAGGTGCAGGTCCTGGAGGACACACCTGTTGGCTCTTGGATTATCACCATCTCTGCTAAGGATTTGGATGCAGGAAACTATGGGAAAATATCTTACACATTTTTTCATGCATCAGAAGATATTCGTAAAACATTTGAAATCAATCCACTATCTGGGGAAGTTTATTTGCGATCACACTTGGACTTTGAAGCAATACAGTCACACATTATAAATATTCAGGCAACAGATGGTGGGGGTCTTTCGGAAGAATGCACTCTTCTGGTTAAAGTAATAGATATAAATGACAATCCACCAGAAGTGACCATGTCATCAATTACAAAGATAATTCCAGAGAACGCCTCAGAGACCCTTGTGGCTCTTTTTAGTGTCCGAGACCAAGACGCTGGGGAAAATGGGAGGGTCGTTTGCTCTATTCAAGATGACCTCCCATTTTTTCTGAAACGGACCTTCAAGAACTTTTTCACTCTAGTTGCAGAAAAAGCACTGGACAGAGAGGAAAGACCCGAGTACAACATCACCATCACCGTCACTGACATGGGAACCCCCAGGCTGAAAACCAAGCACAACATAACCGTGCTGGTGTCCGACGTCAACGACAACGCCCCCGCCTTCACTCAGACCTCCTACACCCTGTCCGTCCGCGAGAACAACAGCCCCGCCCTGCACATCGGCAGCGTCCGCGCCACAGACAGAGACGCGGGCGCCAACGCCCAGGTCACCTACTCGCTGCTGCCGCCCCTCGACGCGCACGTGCCCCTTGCCTCCCTGGTGTCCATCAACCCGGACAACGGCCACCTGTTCGCCCT